AGTGCGCCGGGCCCTGTCTGGGGCTGGGGAGCTCCTGCTGTCTGTGCTCATTACTGAATGCACATCATTAATCAAATAGGAGGACTACAAGGGAACTCTGCAGAGAGGACTCTGTTTGACTCAGCAGAGCCGGATGGAGACGGTCATTGTCCCTGTTCCTAAGAGAACGCTCAAGGCTGACATCTTGTATTTGGAAATCATCCACGTCTAAAGAAGGCCGTTGGAGCTGACCGCGCGACCACGGGCCTGCTGCCCACTGATTCTGGATGTGCGCTGTTCTGGCTCAGAGGGTGCATCTGCAGGGGCCCGCACTTGAAGCAGCTTGGCAGAGCTCCCAGGTTGGGAGAACGGAAGCCCAAGCTTCAGGGGGACGGGGACCACCAGACCCGGGGACCCAACCTGGCAGGCTCGCCCACCTGTCCTGAAGCTCCTCGCTCACACCCCAGCCTTCTCTGCCTGGTGGAGGGGAGCAGCTGCCCCGTGAACTGGGTCACATCCTTAAAGTTCAAGCAGAGAAAATGAGGCAGCTTTCAAAAAAAATTAGAAGAAATGCCATGTTTGGTTGAGCTCCCATCCTGTTCCTCAGGAGAAGGGCGTCATGGGACAAGATGGTGGCCTCACGACCCCGTGGCTTGACTGGGAAGGTGACTGGGGACTCTCCAAGAGAAAGATGTACCACCTACCTGTGGCATCACACAGCTGTGTGCCCGCTGCCCTGCTTTCCACCTGGCTGTGCCCCAGCTCAAGGGGATCCACTGGGAAGGAGGGGAAATATTGCTATTTTCTGTCCATTTTCTGACATTTGTAAGAACTTGTTGCATCCATGTGCACCTGTGTATTGTTGTGTACATGTAAGTCTGTATACATCAGGGTTCCCACTCCTAATTTTTAGGGTGTTGGATCCAGTTTTGTAAAGAGGTTCTGAATGCTCACACCTGGTTCCCTCTCAGCACAGGCAGCCCTTTGCCGGTCTACACTGCCGGCTGCTCTGCGTGTGCTATTGTGACCCCCTTGTATGGAGGTCTCTAACCTGCTGCAGGGTTCACCTGAGCATTTTCTGAACATGCAGGTGGCAGGGAGGTCTCAAATGCTTCTTGGTGACTGGGGACAGGTGTGACTTCCATCTGGGACCCAGATCTTCCTGATATGTCAGAGGGTCGTGAGCGTCACCCAGTTCGGAGGCTTCTGTTCCTTCCTGCCTCTAGCCCTTTACTGATGCCTTCTAGCACAGAACTTCCCCTCCCAGGGTCAGTTCAGGGCTTGGCTCAGCTTTTGGAAACGAAGGGTGCAGGACCTGGCTTTGGGGACGGGCACAGGGCAGTTGCCGTCAGGATGGTGTTTTCTGGAATCCACTTTCTTTGGACTTATCCTTTGGTCTCGGGGATTTGGGCCCCTTTAATCCTGGGAAGATGAAAGTCCTTTGTTAGTGCCTGTGAGCTCTCTGGCCCTAGAACTCAAAGGTGGCCCTGGCTCCAGGGCTCCAGGGCTCCAGAGCAGGCTTTTCTTCACGAGCTTAGACAGATATCAACTCTAGATACTTATTTAAACCCCAAATCCTGGGTAATCAATTCTGGAACTTAAGGCAGCATCAGCCACGTTTTTTCACTATTAAGTACCCGCAAGCTTCGGTGTGCTTTAGTCTGCGAGTACAGCAGGCCTGGGGCGACCTTGGTGCTGGCAACGAATTCACTTTGCACCTGAGTTGAAAGTGCGTCGAGTGTAGTCATAAAGCGGGAAGATGAAATTTGGAATTTGGTTTGTACTTGGAATCACTCACAGCTCATTTTGTGTGCGTGTGGTGGGGCGGTGAGCTCACAGTGACAGTTTCAGAAAGAACAGGAGGGACATCCATGGTTCATGCCTCTCCATGTCTTCAAATAATTAATGAAGGCAATTCACCTAGGAAGCTGTTCCAAAGCTCCCACAAGTATTTACAAGAAATTTAGTTGCCTACTTTATCTGTGAGTTCCTTTAATTAGAAAAGAAAATCTTTAAAACCTCAATAGCTGACCTGTCTTAACAGTACCGTACACATTAAACATATTTTGCATAAGCTGGGCGCTGTGGTGCACACCTGTAATACCAGCTCTACCAGGGACTAAGGTAGGAGGATCACAAGTTCGAGGTAACTTGATGAGACCATGTCTCAAAATAAAATAAGAAGGGGCCCAGGAAATACCTCAGTGGTGCTCCTGGGTTCAATCCCCAGTACCAAAAGAAAAAAGAAAGTTATACTTAGCTGCTGCAACAACCCCAGGTTTGTGATTCTGTCTGTCTTTGTCGTTGGGTGTGACTTTAATGACTGTACCTGTGCTTATGTCATGCTTACTCAAACGTGGCCTTTCTGTTTGGTCTATTGCAATTCTTGTTTCCTTTTGCAAGTAAACTCGTCGCAGCTGAACCACGGGGTGCCCCCGGGCACCCTGCCTCTCCTGCACTGGCACTCACTGACCCGGCTCTCCTTTTAGCAGCCCTGTCATGGTGGCAAACGCGCATTGCTGCCATCTGCCAGGCACTGTCCCAAGTGCCAACTCTGTGGCTCTTGGAGGAAGAGGAGGCTCACAGAGCTTAACCAGCCGCCAAAGGCGCTGGCAAGACAGTGGTGCAGCTGACAGCTCGGGCCACTGGGCTCCGGAGTGTGAAGAGTGTGGGCTGCAGAGCTCAGCACCCACTTCGCCTGTGGCCTTCTGGAGCCTCACTGGGTCCCTCAGACGGTGGCTGAGCCTGCGTAGTGTGGGGCACATCAAGAGGGGCACTCAGGAGACATGCTTTTTGCACGGTGGTTCTTCAGCATCCTCAGTTGTTAACTGGAGGGCGCCCACCCCCGTGCTCGGTTCTGGTGGGTCACTGTGTTTGCATTCTGATGGTGGCAGGGTCCATCCTGCAGCCCAGAGGATGCAGTTTGCTGGGGACCCCCTGCATTCCAGGCAAACACCCCACTGGGCTCCTGTGTATGATTGCAGGGTGGTCCCTGCTAAAAGCTGAGGGTGCTCAATGAGAGACTCTGCCAGCCCTCCTCTGCTGGGGTGGGAGCAGAAAGGGACTTCATGAGAGCTGTCTGCAGCAGGGCGCCTGCAGTGTCCCCATGGTCCAGAGCCCTGTGCACACCTCTAAACAGAATTAGCTAAGGGCATGTTCCCACAGTAGCCCTTCCCCACCTCCTGACAGAGTCCCTGAGATTGAGTTGGTGGAGCTGCAGAGAAATGAATAATTGAAGATCTAATTGATAGGACTTGGTGTGGATGTGGGACCGTGACGGGAGGGGAGGTACCGAGGTACTCTGGGGAGTCTGACTTGAGCACAGGGATGGATGAGGGTCCATTCAGCTGAGCAAATGTTAGAAGAGAACCAGTTTGAGCAGAGTTAATTCATGAGAGCTTTGGGAATTAATTTGGAATTTCTTTTTGAGGCTTACAACTGGAGATATGAAGAAGGTAATTGGATGCATGTGCAGAGTCAGGGGAGACATCCTGGCTTGAGATAGAGCCATCTGCACGTGAGGGTTGTCTGCAAGGAAGGGCCATTTGTTTGTGGGGTCATTTGCATGTAGGGAGGGGGACATTTGTATGTTGGGGTTTTCTGCATGCAAGAGATTGTTTGTATGGAGGGGTCATTGACATGTAGGGATCATCTGCAGGTAGGAGTTGTCTGCCCATAGGGGTCATCTGCCCACAGGGGACATCTACACATAGGGGTCATCTACCCACAGGGGACATCTGCATGTGGGCTAGAGCCACCATGTGTGGGTGGAGGAGTTCTCCCCTGGGAGCCTGTGGGGTATGAAGAGGTCAAGCTTGTGTCTGGTTTGGGTGGGACCTCAGTTTGAGTCCCAGCTCTGTGACCCTGAGAAGGCCACTTGACACCTCTTGGGTCTCAAGTGCCTTACCCATGTGATCTGCTCACCACTTACGGTGGCGTGGGGGCTGGAGGAGTAGCAGGAGGCAGGACGGGCCCAGGCTCTTTGCCTGGCCTCCTTACCTTGGGGTCACCTTTCTCTTGGACTGTGTGTGTCTTGGTGTTGGCCACCTGGGAGATGGACGTGCTTTTGCAGTCTAACGTCAGTGCCAGCAGAAGGGGCTGGGCTGAGTCCCTTTCCCTTGTTTTGTCCTGGAACCAATTCCAAAGCTCCCGGCTCCGACCATTGCCTTCCTGCTGTCAGCCCACGGCTGTGGTTGTAACCCTGGCTGCTGGTTAGAAATATCTGGGGGTGCTTCAAAAAGAGTGCGCTACCAGACCCCCTCCCCAGAGCTGTGGCTCCTGGCTCCTGAGCTACTGTCCACTCCCTTCCCAGTGCCTCATTCAGGGGCCTCACCATGGGACCTTGAAATCTGCCTGGATTGTGGCATTTACACCATGGGAATTGGCAAACTCTACAGACCAAGGCCCAGAGAGCTGGCCAGTAAATGTTTACCAGCCCACCACGGGTCAGGGCATCCTTATTTTTTTCAGAAGCGTCCACAGTGACTTATGGGCAGCAGGCCTGAGAGCCACTGGCCTAAGGTCCCCCAGGTAGGCCCAGTGAGCTCCGAGTTACCCACAGGGGCTAACAGTCATCTAGTCCTGAGAGAAGACGAGCTGCTTCTGTGAATCAGGCCACTCACTCCTCGCAGCATCCCGTGAAGGAGGGTCCTCATCAGTTTTTAAAATGGTGAAATTGAGTCCAGATGGTCTGTCTGCACCTTGTCCAGGGCCACCCTTCTAGTTAGTGGCTAAGGGGGGACTTGGACCCAGGTCTGAGCTGCTGGAACTTGAGTCTGGTCAGGGCTTCCTGGGTGGCGTGGGCAGTGCCCACTCTTCCCAGCGGGTTGGATGAGACTGAGGCTCTGGTTGTTCCTGATGACCATGGGGTCCGAGCTGCAAGTAGGTCATCGTGGCGGGGGGGGGGGGGGGTTGTAACCAGGGTCGCGGTGGGCGAGTCTGCCTGGGCAGGGTGCTGGACTCTGAGCCAGGATGGGAAACCCAGAGACTCACGGGCGCTGCTGTGTGCTTTCCCCTTCCAGTGGAGCACGACAAGGAATTCTTCCACCCACGCTACCACCATCGGGAGTTCCGGTTTGATCTTTCCAAGATCCCAGAAGGGGAAGCGGTGACGGCAGCTGAATTCCGGATCTACAAGGACTACATCCGGGAACGCTTCGACAACGAGACCTTCCGGATCAGCGTCTACCAGGTGCTTCAGGAGCACTTGGGCAGGTGGGTGCCGGGGTCTGGGGGCAGTGCTGCCTCCAGCTACTGAGGAAGAAAGGGTGCAGGCCCAGGATGGGCCAACAGGGCAGCGGCCGTCAGACAGCTGCCACCGTGGGACACCAACCACATTTGGACTTGGTGTCTCTTTAAAAGAGGGTGCATGATGTGTGTCACAGTTTTCTAAGATGACCATGGGGTCATCTTATGACCATGGGGATCATCAGCAAATCTGGGCAGGAAGGCAGGAGGCCGGGAGGCCCGGGGTGTGTGGCCCATGCAGGGATTTATGGGTGGCCTGGATCAGGCGGGCCCAGGGGGAGCATCCTGGTGATGGTCTCCCACCCTCTGATCTTCACTCTGAGGCCCCACGTGGTGTCAAGCCACCAGTGAAAGTGGCCATTGTAATAAAATGTTATTAGAGGGAACACAATCCTAATCCCCCCAAAACATCCAGAGAAGTCCCAGTGTTGGAAGTCCCCAGGTCAGGAGCCAGAGTCGGTGCTGAGACTTTAATTTCGGGCTGTGACACTCCTACTGTCCTCTGCTGCTGTGACATGGTAGTTCATGAAGAAGGGTGGTGTTTGCCTCTGATGGTCAGCCCTCGCCCTTCAGGTAGGAAGGGGATGTGTTGACCACAGACAGCAACCTACAATCCACCGCCGCATGCCCGCTGAGTGCCGCTGTCTCGGGGGTCATCTTGACCACGGGGAACACGAAACGTCAGTGGGAGAGCGCTTGCCTGGCATGCATGAGGCCCTGGTTCCATCCCCCCGCACTGCAAATAAAAGAAAAAACAAGGCAAGAGAACGAGGCTTGTGTAGGGCGTCCCGTGTCTTGCCTTACCTCACGTCACACTCACGTAGCCTTCTAAGGAAACTCTGCAAAGTGAGAGTGGAAGTGGCTTGAAGCCAGAGCGCACGGCCACCTAGTGAGAACATGGCCACATGGGGACTTGGGCCAGGGTTTGGGAGAAGCTGGAGCCGTGCCTACAAAAGTATTTCCTTAAAAACTTGTATTTGGATAGGTAAGGCTCCCCCCACCACCACAGAGGCCATTCTTGTCCCTGACATGACTTCCTCGGGTGCCTGAGTGCGTGGGGCCTCTCATCCTGCTGGTCAGGATGGCGCCACGGCAGGTGGTCTCCTCCACACTTGCCTGTCCATCTAAAGTCCTAGACTGTGGGCCACTGGACACACACGTTGTTTCTGTGGACGTTGTCTGGACATCTCTCCTCGAGCCAGGGAGGGGACAAGGCCCGCTCCTCTGTGCTCACCAAGGTCGCTTAACCAAGCTGTCAATCCCTGTCAGTCTGACAGGGGACAGAGGGTGTCCCTGTGTGGTTTAAATCTTCCATTCCAGAGGGCCCCGCCCAAGGCCACCCTGGGCTGCTTCCCTGCTGGAGGGGATGGTACTGGGAAGGAGCTGGGATGGCCCGAGGGGCAGGGCCAGCCGTGTCTGTAATCACCTCTGAGTCTTCCTAAAGGCTTTCGGGCAGGTGCCCTGGCAGCCTGGCGGGCTGTACCTGGTCCCTAGGCACAGCTTCCAGAGAAGTTTCAGATTCATTCTTGGGGGTTTTAGAGGTTTGTCTATCCTCTGACAGATGCCCCAGGACTTTCTTTATTGTTATTTTGCAGAGCTGGGGATGGAGCCGGGGCCGCAGTCCTGCTCGGCACGCACCAGCACAGCCTCCCCCCAGGACTCTGGGACAGACCTGTGTTTGATTTTTCTCATGAAGGCGGGTGACTTGGGGCAGGGCAGGCACGCTGAGGCTGTTTGTCAGCAGCACTAAATGGGCCCACTTGTGCCATCCTTGAGCCCACTCCCCCCGGGCCTCCTGGCAGACTCCCGAGATCTGCCCTTGGCCAGTGGTTCTCTTTGCCCTGCTGAAGACCCGGGGTCAATGGGCCTGGGGGCGCCTCTGCAGCCCTGTGCTGCTCTTCCCTTGAGGGATGTCTCCATCCATGGCTCCCAAGTCCTGTGCTCCCCTGCCCTGCTCCACCTGGGGAAGGTGCTAGATGGAGGATCAGGGATCAGCAAGTGGGGCCTGGGCTGCCGACGTGGAGGTCAAGGCTGCTACGTTTGTACAGAGACGTGGGTTCCGTGATGTATTTGTTGAAGCTCCACTGAGCACCCCACACCAGGCACCGCTCTCAGAAGTCAGATCACAGGATCCAGTGAGAGGGGCTCACGAGGGCAGGCCTCATCCCATGTTTCTTTGGGTACTGGGGATTAGACTCAAGGGCACTCGACCACAAAGCCACCTCCCCAGCCCTATTTCGTATTTTATTTAGAGACAGGGTCTCACTGAGTTGCTTAGTGCCTTGCTTTTGCTGAGGCTGGCTCTGAACTCGAAATCCTCCTGTCTCAGCCTCCCGAGCCGCTGGGATTACGGGTGTGCGTCACTGCGTCTGGCTCATCTAATGCTTTGATTGAGGGCGTTATCTTTCCTAGGGAGGCGATAACAAGACTGCAAACTGGGGTGGCTTAAAGCAGCAAGACTTATTCCTTGAATTCTGGAGTGAAGCTCTCAGTGGGCCCTGCTCCTTCCGAAACCTGTGTCTGGGGTCTTTGCTTATCTCCTGCTTCTGGTGGTGACCACTGGCTGTTGTGCTCCCAGGCTGCACATGGACCAGCCCCGTCTCGGCCGCTGTGGTCACGTGGCTCCCTGTTTTCCCATGGGTTCTCCTTGTATGGCTCTTCCTCTTCTCACACAGGCCTGGGTGCCACCCATAACGGATTACGCCTGCAGAGACGCTACTTCCAGATAAGGTCCGAGGCCAGGTGCCAGGTGTTAGGAGTGTCTTTAGGGGGGGTCTGATCCAATCCATGTAGGATCCAGAAAGTGAGAGGCAAACACAGGAGCCAATAAGCAGACCAGGTAGCTGTTGGGACTGGCTGGAGCAGGTGTGTGGGCAGGTGTGCCTTAGGTAGGGTGGTCACAGAGGGCGCTGAGCTGGGACACTTGAATGACAAGAAGTCTCTGCAGCAGTGGGTGGGGCTGCAGTCCTCAGGTCAGGTGGGCTGATGAGGGTCGTGGGTCTTGCTGAGGGTGAGACGGAGCCTTTACAGGAAGCTCTTTTTTGGGGATTGAACACAAGGGCTCTGGACCACTGAGCCACGTCCCCAGCCCTATTTTGTATTTTATCTAGAGACGTGTCTGACCCCCTCTGGGGTCTCTGCTCCCTGTGCTGCCTCTGTCACTTGCTGACTTCCTAGTCACTCGGTCCTGTCTCAGTTTGAGGTGGCTGCCTCCTGCCCCTTACAGGGATCTAAGGGTGGGTCCTGGGTGCCCAGGTGGGGAGAAGGCCTGAGTCACTGTGGCTGATGGAGGGAAGGTGAGACAGGTGTCCTCAGCTCCTGGGCAGGTGGCCAGGCTGGCATAACAGGTCACTGAGTCTGTCTCTGATGGCTCTTGGCTTGCTGGGAGGTCATGCTCCTCGTTAGCAAGTGTCCCAGCAGAGGAGGTGACCACAGGGTCTGGGACAGCTGGTGGGCAGGACGTACCTGGCAGCCAGGGGGCAGAGTTGGAGGCGGTGGCGGGAGGAGGGCTCGTGCTGTGTGGATTGCTCGGTTTTCTTCCTGTGCCGGAGAGAAGGATGAAGAGCTCCTCACCTCTCCAGAAACGAAAAGGATAAAACTTTAAAAAAAGTTACTTATTCATTTCCCGAGAATCTTGTTTTAGTGTTGACTCTAGAGCATGGATTTGAATCCGGTCACCAGGTACCAGTGTGGCTTTGGGGACCAGGAACCTCAGGGCCTCAATTTCCTCCTGTATAAAATTGGGGGTACCTGGCCCTCCCTCCCAGGCCTGTGTGAAGGGAGAAAGGAGTTGACCTACTCAGCCATTGCCACCTGGTGGGTGCTCACTGCAGGCTCAGCGGTGGCCCGTCATTGTCATCGTGGGAAAGGGAGAGCTGCTGGCTTCGCCGTCTCTGCCTTTTCTTTGGCTTTGGCTAAATCGCTGGGCTTTGTGGTCGCTCAGCGGGAGGAGGTCTGAGCTCGGGATGCTCTGTGGGCCTCCAGGCCTCTAGCCTGTCACCTCTGCAGGGGTGGAGCGCACCTGTGCTGCCCCTAGCCCGGCCCCTTGTCTGAGTTCCCCAAAGAGCCCGGATCCCACCCACCACCCCGGCCGGCCGTGGAGCCACCCTGGCCTTTGTGCTGAGGAAGCCGTGGCCTTGCGCCAGCAGCTGCCCAGCTGTGCAGGGCTGAGACCTCTGGCTCCCTGGCACGCTCTGCTTGAGCTGCAGGAAAGCCCGGGGGTGCCGGGGATTAGCGGGCTTGGGTCGGCCTCAGCGTCTCCCCTCGTAGGAGTCACTTTCCACCAAGTCCTCTTGATCTCTCGGAATCCAGATTAAATTCCGATAATGAGCTGAGCTGGAGGCCTTCCATGGCCCTGGGCGCTGCGTGAGCTCGGCCCCAGACAGCTGGGGAGACGTGGAGGAGCCGCCCTGGGCGGCTGCGGAGCAAGTGGGGCTGCGAGGCAGGTCTGGGGCTGGTGGCCTTGGCTCTGGGCACCTTGCGGAGGGTGGGGAGGTGAAGGGCTCGGTCTTAACCCTGTGCTCTGAATCATGGCCTGAGTCTGGACAAGCTGGGTCTGGCTTCCAGGGCTGGACCTGCCCGTCCCTGTTGGCTCCAGCTTTGGTTCCAGCTGCTGGGGAGGGTATTTTGGGTGGGGGGGTCTCTTCAGTCACGAAACCAGGCCAGAGTGCTCCATCCCAGCCTCCCCAGCCCAGGGAGGGACGTGTTGAGAGCTGGCCTCTGAGAACTCTAGGGAAGTGGAGGCCAGGCCCCCTGGCCACCACCAAGGTCGAGATGATGTCGGCAGCTGGATGAAAAATGTCCCTTGCTCCATCTCAGGGATTTTGGCTGCCAGCAGGGTGACCTCAGAGTGGTCTCCTGTGCCAAGATTTGGATCAGCTGCAGCCTGAGTCACTCCGAGGAAGAGGGGGCTGTTCTGTGCCTGTCCCCCACAGGGGAGAGGTCGGTAGGGGAGGCTGAGGTGTGGC